AAAAGCCACGCCCCCGTTTCTAACGACGCGGGTTTATGCAAATCAACTCATTAATATTAATGAGATCGGCGCGGTCACGTTTTTCTCTAAGCCACGCCCACCAAGGGGGATAAACAAAGCTTTATTTGGGAAAGCCACGCCCCTTTTTTGCGGATTGACACGCCCACTCGTAAAAAACCACGCCCACATTGACATATATGAGCTGGCCACGCCCATTAAAAATGCTAATTAGGCGCCTTTTACCCTGACCACGCCCCTTTTCTACATTAATGAATATTAATGAGCCAGTTCAAATGTCACCTCGCCCACAAAAGGATAACCACGCCCCCTTTTGAATATTTATTATGTGACTTTTCAACTTTTGCAAAAACCACGCCCCCCCTTTTTAAGCCACGCCCCTCCCTGATTGGCCAGGCCCCCTTTCTCGATGACCACGCCCATTCTGACCATAACCACGCCCCCTTTTTGCCCATTTTTGCCCCAAAATGACCCAAATTTTGCCCATTTTTACTAAGCCACGCCCCTCCCGTGTTAACCACGCCCCTCCCTGGTTGATCACGCCCATTGTGAGCATAACCACGCCCATTTTGACATAACCACGCCCCATTTTTGCCCCTTTTTGACCCAAATTTTGCCCATTTTTCCCAAGCCACGCCCCTCCTGTTTTAGCCACGCCCCTCCCGGGTTAACCACGCCCCCTCCCGGGTTAACCACGCCCATCCCTGATAAACCACGCCCCTTTTCTCGATGACCACGCCCCCTTTTGCCCATTTTTGCCCCAAAATGACCCAAATTTCATCCAATTTTCCCAAGCCACGCCCCTCCCGTTAAGCCACGCCCCTCCCTGGTTAGCCACGCCCCTCCCTGATAAACCACGCCCCTTTTCTCGATAACCACGCCCCCTTTAACCCATTTTTGACCCAAAATGACCCAAATTTTGTCCATTTTTTGCAAGCCACGCCCATCCCGTTAGCCACGCCCCGTTTCTCGATGACCACGCCCATTTTGACATTGACCACGCCCACTTTTGCCCCTTTTTAACCCCAAATGACCCAAAGTGACCCAAATTTTTACCATTTTTACAAAGCCACGCCCTTCCCGAGTTAGCCACGCCCCTCCCTGATTGACCACGCTCCTTTCCTAATGACCACACCCATAAATCACCTCCCACGCCCCTTTTTTGCCCCTTTTTGACCCAAATTATGCCCGTTTTTCCCAAGCCACGCCCCTCCCTTGGTGGCCCCGCCCTTCCCGTCTTAACCACGCCCATCCCGGTTAAACCACGCCACTTTTCTCGGTGACCACGCCCACTTTTGGCCTTTTTTTGTCAAAAATGACCCAAAATTACACCCATTTTTCCAAGCCACGCCCCTTCTGTTTTAGCCACGCCCCTCCCCGTTTGACCACGCCCATTCCCACATTGACCACGCCCACAAATCACCAACCACGCCCCTTTTTTGCCCATTTTTACCCCAAAATGACCCAAATTTCATCCAATTTTTCCAAGCCACGCCCCTCCCGTTTAAGCCACGCCCCTCCCGTTTAAGCCACGCCCCTCCCTGGTTGACCACGCCCATTTTGACACTGACCACGCCCCTTTTTGATGACCACGCCCACAAATCATTTGTCACCCCCCCTTTTTGCTCCTTTTTGACCCAAATTTTGCCCATTTTTCCCAAGCCACGCCCCTCCCTTGGTGGCCACGCCCTTCCCGTCTTAACCACGCCCATCCCGGTTACACCACGCCCCTTTTCTCGATGACCACGCCCACTTTTGGGCTTTTTTTGTAGAAAATGACCCAAAATGACACCCATTTTTCCAAGCCACGCCCCTTCTGTTTAAACCACGCCCCTCCTGGGTTAGCCACGCCCCTCCCTGGTAAACCACGCCCCTTTTCTTGATTTCCACGCCCCTTTTTGCCCATTTTTGCCCCAAAATGACCCAAATTTCATCCAATTTTCCCAAGCCACGCCCCTCCCGTTTAAGCCACGCCCCTCCCTGGCTGACCACGCCCCTCTCTGACTGACCACGCCCATTCTGACCATAACCACGCCCACAAATCACCTCCCACGCCCCCTTTTTGCCCATTTTTGACCCAAAATGACCCAAATACGCCCGAATTCTGCCCATTTTTCCCAAGCCACGCCCCTCCCGTGTTAGCCACGCCCCATTTCTCGGTGACCACGCCCATTCTGACCATAACCACGCCCATTTTGACATAACCACGCCCCATTTTTGCCCCTTCTTGACCCAAATTTTGCCCATTTTTGCAAACCACGCCCCTCCCGTTTAAGCCACACCCCTTTCCGAGTGACCACGCCCATTTTGACATAGCCACGCCCATTTTGACATAACCACGCCCCATTTTTACTCCAAAATGACCAAATTTTTTACCATTTTTACAAAGCCACGCCCCTCCCAGGTTAACCACGCCCCTCCCTGACTGACCACGCCCATTCTGACCATAACCACGCCCACAAATCACCTCCCACGCCCCTTTTAAACCCATTTTTTGACCCCAAAATACCCAAATTCGCCCAAATTTTGCCCAGTTTTCACCAGCCACGACCCTCCCGTTTAAGCCACGCCCCTCCCTGATTGACCACGCCCCTTTCCACATTGACCACGCCCATCCTGACCATAACCACGCCCACAAATAACCAACCACGCCCCCTTTTTGCCCATTTTTGCCCCAAAAGACCCAAATTTTGCCAATTTTTCCCAAGCCCCGCCCCTCCCAGGTTAACCACGCCCCTCCCTGATTGACCACGCCCCTTTTAACATTGGCCACGCCCATTCTGCCCATAACCACGCCCACAAATCACCAACCACGCCCCTTTTTTGCCCATTTTTGACCCAAATTGTCCCAAATTTTGTCCTTTTTTTCCAAGCCACGCCCCTCCCGTTTAAGCCACGCCCCTTCCGGGTTAGCCACGCCCCTCCATGATAAACCACGCCCCTTTTCTCGATAACCACGCCCCCTTTTGCCTATTTTTGCCCCAGAAGACCCAAATTCCCCCAAATTACGCCCATTTTTTCCAAGCCCCGCCCCTCCCAGGTTAACCACGCCCCTCCCTGATTAACCACGCCCCTTTTCTCTGTGGCCACGCCCACTTTTGACCTTTTTTGCCCCAAAATGACACAAATTTCATCCAAATTTTCCAAGCCACGCCCCTCCCTGATTGACCACGCCCCTTCCCACACTGACCACGCCCCTTTTCCCTTGGCCCCGCCCCCCAGGACGTGTTCCTGATGATCCGGCGGCACAAGACGACGATTTTCACCGAGGCCAAGGAATCCTCGACGGTTCTGGAGCTGAAAAAAATCGTCCAGGGGATTCTGCATCGCCCTCCCGAGGAGCAGAGGCTCTATAAGGTCAAAAAAATGGAATTTTGGGAAAATTTGGGAAAAAAGAAAAAAAAA